CCCTCCAGGGAGATGAACCTCCTCAACGGTAATATCCCCCGATGTCCCCACGGCTTCCGCGGCCACTGCTCTCCGACGGCTCCACCCGTGACATGATGACACTCTTGAAATTGACTTTTAGGAGGAGCAGTGGAGGAATTAGTGGGCTCCTTGCCTGGGAGCCATTCCGCCGCAACTAATCTCTCAAAATATTTGGCTTCTTTCTCCTCTCAGAAAAAGAATCTTCTTCTCCTTCTAGAAAATAAATGGGGTCTCATTTGTCTCCCTGCTCAGCCTTGATTCCGTGTCAATTTCTCTGCTTCGTCACCCAAGGAGAGAGACAGTTACATGTGCTACAAATAGTGGAGAATATGTCGGGGTGGTGGAAAATGTCCAAAGTTTGATTAGCAGAGGGCGGATATTTATTTATTTTCAAGTTTTTCATGTAATGACGACTGACCTTGGGCCGAACAGAAATTTTATAGATCACAAAATTGGTAGATTCCGTGTCAATTTCTTTGCTTCGTCACTAACCAGAATCAACACGAACAGAGGAACATGTGCTGTAGCGGAGAATATGTCGGGGTTGTGTTAGATGTCCAAAGTTTGATTATCAGAGGGCGGATAAGTATTTATTTTCAAGTTTTTCATCTAATGACGGCTGACCTTAGGTCGAACAGAAATTTTATAGATCAGAAAATTGGTAGACTTCTTGTCAATTTATTCGCTTCGTCACCCGCCAAACAAGGAAAGAGATAGTAACATGCAGAGAATATGTCGGGGTGGAAGATGTCCAATATTTGATTAGCAGAGAACGGATATGTTGTATTATTTGAAGTTTTTTTAAAATTTGATGACGACCGATCTTGTACCAAACCGAAATTTTATAAATCACAAAATTGCTTGTTTTGTACGCCAAAAACGGAAAATTATTAAAATTGGATGACTTCAATGAGATAAAAGGTAGCAGAATACGATGCATGTTCGTAATAAACAGAGAACAACGGTTATTACGTATTTATTTCCAAGTTTTTTTTATTTGACGACGATCGACCTTGTGCTGATCCGAACTTTAATAAATCACAAAATTGTTAGTTTTGTACGCCATAACTGGAAATTATTAGAATAGGATAACTTCAATGAGATAAAAGGTGGAAGAAATACAGTAGACTCCATATATCTGCATACCCTATGCATGTGCTATGCTCTGTTGCATATAAAATCTCAACCGATTATCCAAATTTGAAACAACTAGTATCAAATTGCAGGTAATTTAATGGGGACTTGAATTTTTTCTAACTAATGCCCATAACTCGTGTTAGTTGTGGAACACATACTGAAATATAAGATGACAAAATTTCGGCGCGCAAAAGTCTGCGTACCTTTCTGCAATTCGTAAAGTAAACAACTTCCCCTGATTTGTTTGACCAAGGTAAGTTAATAAATACATTTCAGAGATTCATAACAAATATTTTGTCACTCGTTTTACCGTAGGTCATGATGGCGCCACCACGGAGAGAGATTTCCATAGCCATCCGCGATCGGATTATCCAAGATTGGAAAGGTGATGAAAATGGGCGTCTGGGATACAAAAAATTAGGCGAGAAGTACAAATTAGCTAAATCGACGGTCCAGAGGATTGTTACAAATTTCAAACTCACTGGATCAGTGCAAAATAAGAGAAGAAGTGGACGGAAACCAAAGTTGACCCAGAGAGAAGTCCGCCATGTCGTGAAAAAGGTCGTAATATCTCCTTCACTAAGTGCTCCGAAACTTGCAACTGAGGTCGAGGAGATGTTTGGGAAGAAGGTGAGCCACAATACCATCCGGAGAGTACTACACAAGCAAAACCTAAAGTCCCGACCAGCAGTTCGAAAGCCTCTCATCTCAAAGAGAAACGCAACCAAAAGACTTCAATTTGCACGGGACCACATTTCCAAAGGCCAATCATTTTGGGATAGCATTTTATGGAGCGATGAGTCGAAATATAATGTGTTTGGGTCAGATGGACGTCGACGAGTGTGGCGACTACCAAATCAAGCTTTAAATCCCAAGAATCTCAACCCTACCGTAAAGCACGGAGGTGGATCTGTGATGGTATGGGGGTGCATGGCTGCGAATGGGGTTGGAAAAATGGAATTCGTGGACGGAATTATGGACCAGTTCAAATATCAAGGTATACTTGACCGAAATTTGAAGGAATCTGCCAGGCAACTTGGACTTGGGAGAAGATACATTCCAACAGGACAATGATCCCAAGCATTCTGCGAAGTCCACCATGGAATACTTCAAAAGAAATAAGATTGTCAAATTGGATTGGCCTCCTCAAAGTCCAGATTTGAATCCCATCGAGCATCTTTGGGTACACATCGAAAGAAAAGTCAGAGAAGAGTCATTTTCTGGAATTCCAGAGCTTAAATCGAGGATAGAAAAAGTCTGGAATGAAATTTCTCCCGACGTGACCAGAAATTTAGTGAGCTCCATGACCCGGCGTCTTGAAGCAATTATTAAGGCTAATGGGGGTCCAACTAAATATTAAAATTGTTTAAGCTAAAATGTCTTGCTAAATTTGAATTTTAAATTATTTTTGCTCAAAGGTACGCAGACTTCTGCGCGATTTTTTTTGCATTGTTTGTCTACAGTAATAATTTAATGAGTAATAAATTTTGATGGCAAACACCATTTTCACCGTTTGTTGTCCACTAAATTCTGCACAAATTAATATTACTCGTTCCAAATTCGGATAATCGGTTGAGATTTTGCATGTAGTTGAGCATAGCACATGCATAGGGTATGCAGATATATGGAGTCTACTGTAAGCTCTGTGTTAGTAATAAATAGAGGACGATTATGTATTTGGTTTAAAGTTTTTTATTTGATAACGACTGACCAGGGTATTCCGACCCAGGGTTTTATTGGGTTGGGTTTTTTGGGTTTTAACGGGTTTTAATGGGTTGTTAACGAATAAACCCCATTGGGTTTTACCATGTTAAATGGGTTTTATTTGGGTTTTAATGGGTTTTATTCGGGTTTTAATGGGTTTTAAATGTGTTTCAGCTTAAAACTATATTCTAAAATCTGAAAACAGCTGTCGTACATTAGACGAAGTTGTTTCATGGCAGCTAAGCAGTTTATTCGATTAATATGTAAGTTTTAAAAACCAGGAATAAATCAGCGAGTGCAATTACAAGTTTCAAGTGACAAAAATATTTAAAAATAATAATTTCGGAACGAGGTATGTTTAACTGAGCATAGTATGCTCAGCATACATAATTTAATTACATTTAATTTACATTTTGCTGTCATAATTAATACTTTTTTCCCGAATACTTCCTCTCATCTCAGCGAATAAATTAAACAAAATACTGTAGTATTTTTTTAATTTATAAAGTTTTTTAAAATGTTTCAAGGTGATCTTAATTATCACCTCTGGAAAATTCGAGTACTTATGGACAGCGAAGTACTTTATTATGAGCAAAAGAAGTGTGTCTGTAAAAAGCACTTATTATATTCTCGATCATAATACATACGTACTTTCATTGTTGTTAAGTACTCGATTTTTTCCAGAATTGATAATACACGTTAAGATCGCATTGAAATATTAAATTTTAAAAACTTTTAAACAACTTGGATTTCATTATGATGAGAGGAAGTATTCGAGAAAAAGGTAATATATATTCTCATAAAGTATTAAACTATGATCAGTTAAACAGGACCATTTCGAAACGGATACAAATTCTAACATGGACAAGTAGGATTTGCATATTAATTGAAATTGGATTGCAATAGTAGTGAAAATTGTTGTTCAATGTATTACTTATGTAAAACCTAATAAAACCTAATAAAACCCATAAAACCCATTAAAACCCAAAAAACCCATTAAAACCCATTAAAACCCCTGGGTCGTTACTTTTTGATTAAAACCCTGGGTTTTTCCGAACCCTGCGACTGACGGTCAAACTATGGGGGTGTGTTGTTTAAAAATATTTTTAAGTGTTGCCACATATTTCTAGGTTTTCGAGATTGAAATTCAATAAGTGTGATGGGAAACTAGTAAGAATAACATTTTGTAAGAAGAATTTGAAAAGAATTTTATTAAGAATATGGTTTAATCTTACAATGCGATGACGCCAGCGGTCTCGCTCCGATTTTGATGAAACTTGGATAATTATGTAGCCTTAGGTAAATAATTGAACATATGTTTCCGGATTTTTCATAATGCTGAGTTTAAACAAAGTTATGATGGTATAGGTGGCCGAAAATTCCCATTTTTCTCCCTCAAAAACAAAAAAATAAAAACTTCACGAGAAAAATGCGAATTTTCGGCCACTTATACCATCATAACTTTGTTTAAACTGAGCATTATGAAAAATCCCGAAATATGTGTTCAATTATTTACTTAAGGCTACATAATTATCGACGTTCATCAAAATCGGAGCGAGACCGCTGGCGTCATCGCATTGTTAGTGACAACCGACAGGAGAGTTTGCAAAGGATGGTATCTACCATGGGTATCGTTCTGGGCTGATTTTTCTCCCTTTCCCATTTATCCCCCAGGAAAATTATGGGGTCTTTTTTGGGTGGCACAGAATAAACAATTTATGAAGAGTTTTTAAGCAAAATATGTTGGTTGTGATGCAAGTATCATGTCGAATGCAGGAGGTTTACAGAATAATTTTAAACCGATGACGGATGATGCAATATATGATCAATTTGGTCCCACTGACCTACCCCAACTTGTTTTTCGATTTCCAGATAATTCTTTTCTCGTTCTATAAATACATAGCATACATAACTTATTTCGTTAGTCTCATTCATGTTTTATTTTTCAATTTTGGAAATTACAAAGGTTACAAAGGTTGCACGGGTTACAGAAGTTAATAAGTTTACACAAGTTACAAAGGTTATACAGGTTACAAAGGTTATACAAGTTACAAAGATTATACAAGTTATACAGGTTACAGAAGTTACAAAGGTTACAAAAGTTACAAAGATTACACTGGGGAGGTTTATTGTGGTAAAATCACAAGCATTTTACACAAGAACGTGCATGAAACAATACAAAATAAATATACAGAGGACAGGCTTACAAGCCGAAAAAAACTATAAACTGTAGAATAATCAACTCAAAAATATGCCGACTCTTCAACTAATCCTCATCAGAAAATTCCTCATCATCAGAAGACTCCGCGGCGTTAACATCGGCACCTTCCAGCAATTCGACGACATCTGCGACCAAAGATACTCCATGAGATGGTCCAGGTTGAGAGGAAGATGGAACTTCTTGATTGGGAGTTGTATCCAAGTAACCTTCGGAATCCAACTTCCGACGACTTCTGATTGGAAGGAATCTATCGTAGGATAAGTACCGGAGAACCTGGGAAAAGCATTTAAATATTTTAAGAGGGAAAACTCGTTTGTATCAAAAGTTCAGAGAAGATTTTATTACCGCCGCAACATGACCGCAGCAACCTAAAGTTCGGGATCCACTCTTGCAAAGGCAGTACCATCCTCGAATCGACTCAAACCCATGTCCCCAAGGAGTGAAAAAAATCCAAACTGTGTGTGTTCGACGTCTGGAGAATCGTGACCGCAGTTTTATCCGGAGGAGATCGTCCATGTCTTTATGAAGCTGGAAGTCGTACCCACCACCAGAGGGGGCATGCTGCCAATTGTACTGTATTCCGATATTCAACTGGTAGGGACCAAGAGTTATTAATTTTAATTCATCCAATGACAATTCTGGAAACTCCAACACGTCATCTTCATCGGCGGTATTCCATGCAGCATTTCCTCTTTGAAGATTGTTTTGTTCTACCAAAGCTTGTACGAGATTTGGGGATTCAAGTCGGCTGGCAACATATTCAATCAAATCCTCATGCCACGGAGATTGAGTGAAGATTGGGGGAGAGAAAGCATTGAGTATTGCAACAGTTACTTTCAAAAGTCCAGGAAGCTTGGGGAAGTAGCTGGCGCAGATAATATCTTCAAAAAACTTGAATTTGTTCTTGAGTCTTCCGTTGACACTTTCCACCACCCACCTCAACATAGTAACCAGTCGGGATTTGTTGGCCTCGGTGGTTGTGAATTGGACTTGGTTTTTCTTCAACAATTCTGGCATAAAACATGCAAGTCCCTGACTTTCAGCCGACTCAATGGCATCTCGAAATCCACGGTCAAGTATAAGGACGTCATCTTCTTCAAGCAATGACATTATGGAGTCCTGTTCTTCCATCATTTTGCGTAAAATATTTGCGTCGTTGTTGCCGTTATCTCCATAGAAGAGGCCAGTTGGTTCTATTATATACCCATCCGGACAAACTGACATCATTGGCTTGAAGAGGTTGCGTTTCTTGTGATTGGAGAAGGAACGACGTTGGAGATGAAAACTTGAGGACTTCTCCACGAAGAGGTAGGTTCCGTCAAGAATCAAAATGAGAGATTCAGGAGGGACGCCAAGGATAGATGTAAAAAAGGGTCTCATGTGCTGGTCGAACAGTTCTTGACGAGTTTTGTGGCCGTATCCAGTGTAGAGAGGGGCAAAACTTGCAAGGAGTGACTTCAGGACAGAAGAGATGGTTTCAGAAATTGTTGATTGATGCGAAATTCCAAACAAGAAAGCAATGACCCGTTGGGACAGGTTCAATCTCAATTTCATGAGGAAGATGGCAAGGGAATTTCTCACACTTCGATTTGCAGTATTCCGTACAGAGCCTTGGCAATGGGCAAGTAGTACGTCAAAGTTGTCCATCGAAACCCCGAGAAGCATCTCATAATCAGAGTTGGTAAGGCGAGAATCCTTGGAGAAGTCAATGGGAAGTTTTTTCTCTGTGATAATTCCTCTCAAGGTCACCATCCACTTCGAGACTTGTTCCCCAGTTAGCGAAGAAGAATCTCTTGCAATGACAAGTGAGGTGAGCACATCTTCTTTCAACATTTCTCCATGCAAGTGTTCACGGCAGCAGCGGTTGTTTTCTGGAATGAGGATCCCGCGACGAATGAAAACCTCGATGATGGCACGTTTCTTGATTCTGGTTCTGACTGGGGACTTGCAAACAAAACAGTGTGATTGAGTGGAAATGACGGAAGGAATTGGGACATCAACGACTGGAATTCTGAGTACACCAACGGGAACGGGAACAACTTGATGGGGTGGGGGAATGTTGTGTTGAATACGTGGCGATGTTGGTACATTCTGGTCCGTGTTTGGAGGTAGTGGCAACACATCAGTATCCAGCTCCATAGACGCAACAGGATCTTCACACGGGGTAGGTTTTGAAAAACTACGTGGCCTAGATTTTGCAACTTGATCCAGACGAAGCTGAAGGTTTACCGCACCTCGTTTAGAATTCACATGCAGAAATGCGAAGCATCCACCGCAGACAAGGTCGTCAGGCCGAACAATTTTTCCGATGTCCAGCATTGCCCCTCGTAGTATTCCCCACAGCGAATCCTCATTAGCAGAGCGCATGCTTTTCCTGACGCCAGACTTGGAATCGCACACACAGCACGTGAACTTGACCATTTTTGACACCTGTGGAAACTTTTAATGAAAATGCACAATATTTAATATTATTTTTGGTTTATTCTAGATGGATTTATTGTTTGCACAGTTCTATTATTCATAACATTTCATAATTCATAATATTTCATGATTATAATTGATACCATTTTATCATTTAATTAATTATTAGTTGGGTTAAAATAATATGTAATGATGTAGTTGTACCTCAAATAAATCACCACCACTACCACCGATTTCTCTGCAAGATCAAACAGAGAAATGTAATTGAAGATTACACAACACCAATCTCAATGTTGCCAGTCCTCCCCACCTACTTCCTCAATAATGCCAGTGCAACAGAAAGGGTGAAACTCGCTAATTTCAACTGTTGCACTGGGTTTACTCCCGTCAATTTAGGGCGCCCTGAATTGATGTTCTTCAACCAGAAGTAGGATTTCGTAGAATGCATAAGTTGCATTATTTTTGTATAAACTTACTGAATCAGGAAGGAATAGCGAGGCTGAGGTGTCCAGAGGAGGAGGAGATGAAGAAATCCAGAGAAAGTTGACAAAAATCTTGAGAAAGCAGAAGAAATCCGGGAGCGATTCATCCAAGAGAATGATGAAAAGATGTGCAGTCTTTCCGGTATTTATGCCATTTTCGTTGTTGATTTGGCGAAAAACGCCAAGAAAAAGTTGGCAACCCCTGCCTTAGCAACCCGTAATTAAGTGAAAAAATTAACATTTTCTGATTTTCCCCACTGAATCTCATTTTGTAATTTCAGCATCACTAAAACTTTTTATCTGGGAATGTAACATTCCCAGAAATCATGCATGTATTGCACAATGACCTGAATGATCATTGTGCAAAGTTTAAAGAAAATCGCTCGTGGTCTTGATACTTTTATTGGCGTTGCAACATGCATCCCATGAAAAGCATACGGAGAACCCACTCTACCAAAACCCAAACTGCAAAAGTTCCAGGAATGTAACATTCCTGAAACTTATGCAAACTCAAGCTAAAGACTTGCTTTATATCATACAAAAAAATCAGTGAAATTGATCGTGGTCTTCATTGTTTTTTCTGCCACCCAAAAAAGTACATCTTTTCAATTTGGTCCTTTTTTATACATTTTGTGAATTTTTAACGACAAAAATTGGAAATTATTAATTATTAAGGAATTTTAATGAGATGAAAGGTGGATATCTGAAGGAATGAGTTACGAATTTTCAACTTCTTCATTTGATGACGATAACCGACGGTCAAACTTTGTACGTGTGTAAATGTTAATTAACTGGTATAAAGCACAAAAAATTCAAAATATTTCTAATAGTAAGCATTGTTACATATTTATAGATTTTCGAGATTGAAATTCAATGAGAAATATGATTTAGTTTTCGTGACACGAGAATACAAATTTGTAAGTTTGTTTGAATAAATTTTGTGAATTTTTAACGCCAAAAATTGGAAATTATTAATATTAAGGAATTTTAATGAGATGAAAGGCTGTATGAGAATAGATGATTAATGTAATTTCAACTTTTTCATTTCATGACGATAACCGACAATCAAACTTTGTCCGTGCGTTCCTTAACGATATAAAGCACAAAAATTGAAAAAAATATGAATTAGTACATATTGTTAGGTGTCCTAGATTGAAATTCGATAAGGAATATGATAAGAAATGAAGAGGAATAAAATTTGGTAAGAATTTTGGGACAATTTTGTTATGGGGAAATGATATAAATTTTAATTTTTGCGAGAGGACAATAAAAATTGGTAGGTCTGTACGCCAAAAATGGAAATAATTAATATCGAGAAGTCCAAATGAGATGATAAGTTGACATCCCGAAGTTAAGGAAATTCGTGTTTTAAGCAGTTACAGATCACAAAAATCTAAAAAATATTTTTGACATATTAGACGAACATATTTTCGCTATTATTTGGAATCCATTACATATTTATTTAAATTCGTACATTTTTAACATATTTTTGAAAAAACATCTATTTTGTAAATATTTCAGCGATGTGAGACGATTTTTCTAAAAAATGAGGAAATTCTGTGAATATTTCAACGATGTGAGAGAAGATTTTTTGTACAATAGAAATTCGACCACAAAAAAAGACCCCGGATTAAATTCAAAAGTACAAACTTTGCGGAAATTTATATTTTCATGTTTTTATCTTATACAAAAACTTGTTAAATTTTTTGACGTATTATCGTAAATACATATCCGACCTTTGTACGATCAGTGTTGGCTTTTGTTTTACATACTTATTTCAGCAATTTATTTTTGTAAATACATTTCCACGAGTTTTTATTTTTGTAAATACATATCCGCCCTCTCCACGAAATTTTTTGCCACGATTTTGTTTTGTTTAGTAAAAATTAAACCCATGCAAATTTCCGTGATTTTTCCTAAATTTATACCCTCCCTTTGTATGATGATCAGTATCAGAAGGTTTACTTTTTAAGAAATGATCCTCGTATTACCTTTGATGATTTAAATGTCGTGATTTTTTTTATAAGAAAAGAAGCTTAACTCTGGGAATAAACGTGGTGGTTTTTCGGACAATGTGACTCTCTGAATTTTATTTATGTACGAGAACAAATCCGTCCATCCAACTTTTGGTCAGAGCTGCTCCTGGATGGACAGACATTAAAGGTAATAGACGTTGAATGGATGGAAGAAAAGTGATAAACGGATCCGTTGTAGGTATTGGCGGGCGAGTAGAGAGATCTTCTCTTTACTTACTTAGCCCGGGTATTAAGAGGGACAGGAGAGATTTGTTTACACAAGTGGAGAAAGGTAGTGGGAGGGGGGGGAAAGCGAGCGAGCGGATGTTGGATGGGTGAAATGAAGGAGAAAATAAAACAGATAAATATCTGTCGGCAGGAGGATAAACTTTCTCTCCAACCTAGAAGAGAATTACCTATGCCGTGTGGTGTGTATTTATTTACAAGCGAAGTTCGATATGGTGAAAGTAAGGAAGTAGGATAAAAAATTAGGAGAGAAAAGGTATAGGAAATTTTGGAAAAATCATATTTTTTGGGGTGGGGAATCAAATTTTTTGGGGGAAAATTGTAATTTTTGGGCAAAAATAGTAATTTTTTGGGAAAAATTGTAATTTTTTAGGGGAAAACCGAAA